TCACATTCATCTGCTGAAAGAGGAGTTTAAGTTTCTCTGTACTCATTGAAAATCTGATTTTAAGGGGCGGGGCCTAGCAGCAGGATTTGTGACATCACAAATAGTTTGGACCAGTATGCAACTTCTAAAAGTGTAGTGTGTGTAGAAACTTGAAGCCTGAAGGAACTTGCACATACACTGAGAATGAAATACAGTACAATAGTTACAGTGAAGTAGGAGACATATGTGTGTGTGTGTGACATTGTGTCCAGCAGCAAATCTTTAGAAGAAACAACATTTGCATATTCAGAGATTCTGGAATATTTAGTAGATGTCTTTTTAAGGAATTTAATGTGGAAATTATTTTTAAAACATGTCTTACTGCGTTGGACTATGATCTTTTTATTATTTTTTTTATTTTTTAGATTTTAGATTCTCCCTACAGCAAGGTTTTGCATGCAGGCTAACTTGGTGTGTTACAATTGTGAGTGTGTGTATGTGGGATGGGGTGTGACAAATGTCTACCTGCACTGACTTACCTTGGATTGTTAGATTCAAACCGCTTGACAGAGCAGATGAGGATACCTGACAAGATGATTGTGTCTGACTTTGATCTCTGGATGACACCATCAGCACATGGTCATGATTTCCAATTGTGCATGTCTTTTTTTTTTTTTTTTTAATGATAACAGACATTCAAAATACAGAGCACCAATGCGGCCATCGTAGCTGCCACCCAACAACTTTCACTTTGTCTTATTGTATTAACATACATTGTACTTACTCAGACTCTAAAGGAAAATCCTGAGACCCATTGACACAAATCTTGCAAATTAAATATTTCACTGAAGCAGTCCTGGTCATTCATTTACAATATATTACCAAATAAAGCGGCTTGCTAAAATCTCTGCTAGTTGATGGTTCCTGTATATATCGTTATATCACTAAACCCCAATTCCGAGCAAGCTGTAATTAAAGCTGTTATCGTCAATATTTTATATGAACAAAGTATCAAATGACTGTATGCAATATGAGAAGTGTCACATAGGCCGTAACTTCACTGTTTAATTTCACTCTCTTAGCTCTTATTAGTATTGTTTCCAGCAGCAGGCAGCCGTCTTCACCAATAACCCCAAACAGACAAAAGTAGCAACTACCCGATGAACACAATGGAGCATTCAGTGGCTAAAGAATCCAATATTTCCTCCAGGAGTTTGTGGAGACCAATACAGAGCTAAAAGGAGACTGGATATTGGATCGACAATTAATCAGGCCGCTAGAAACACGACTCCAAATGAATGCTAATGTTGCTGCGTTTCTGCTGGTCG